GCTTAAACAGGTGCGGTAGAAAATGGATGGATGGATGTTAAAATGCACGAGACAGTTTTTTTATGTTTAACACTATGGTTTCTCTGAATTATCTGAGAGCCATATGCAGTCATCAAAAGAGCCACATACGGCTCGCGAGCCATAGGTTCCTGACCCCTGCTCTACATGCTCCCAATGGGCCAGGTCATAAACAATAACATCGCCTACCATAGTTATGCAGATGACACCCAAGAGCAACATGTTACCGGATGACATGATGAACGGCTCTCTATAGGTACTTGGCTCTCATCGTTCACTTTGAAAACCCGTTCAAAAGATTCAATTTGTTCGTGAACGTCACCTCACTATTAAGCACATTGAATTGCCCTGTGTTTGAAATGTGCTCTATAAATAAAGCTGCCTCATGTTATGTGCCTTAATTGGGATAAGAATTACTAAAATAAATAGTCATCATTAAACTCCTGTAGTCATACTGTAGCAAAGTAAATGCAGAGAATACGTCAATCAGGGCATGGTAATCTTGAAGGTTTAGAGAGATACAACCATGGACGTGATTTTTGGGGCGCGGGGGGGGGGGGGGGGGGGCATGTCCTCCCCACTTTTTCCAAAGTCAAGTTTTGACCCCTGCACTTTTTACCATCCAAGCAAAATATTACTGTATATTAAATTGACACTGGTTGAGCTCTAGGACCAAGCAGAAAACAATCATTTGTGCTGAAGCCTGTTTCCCATTAGAACATACTGTAAAGATCCCCCCCCCCCCCCCCCCCCCTTCTAAAGTGAAAAACATGTACATCCATGGATACGACTGTGCTTTTCTTATTTTCCTTGAAAACTTTTCCCTTCTCAACCAACAAGCTGCTTCAGTTCTGAAACTTGGGTTTTGGAGTAGGAGTCTTATTAGGTGTGAGGTCATTAAAGTCTCAGGACTCCCTGGCCCCTCTCTCTTTGCTGCTTCCTGTTGTGTTGTTGGTGCTGATGATCTTAACAGCCCCAGCAGTGCAGTTAGTAAAAGCATGACCTCACCAGTGACTCCGGTTGCCCTATCAGCATGTTTGTTTCAGACCACACCTTACGCCTCAGAACTAGAGAAGCTTCTTGGAAGACAGGGGAACAACTTCAAGGGAAACAAGAAAAGTCCAGTTGTTTTCAACTAAACCTATTCATCCATCCATTTTCATCCGCTCATCCGGAGTCGGGTCGCGGGGGCAATAGCCTAAGGCGAGAGGCCCAGACTTCCCTCTCCCCAGCCACTTGGGCCAGCTCCTCCGGGGGAATCCCAAGGCGTTCCCTGGCCAGGTGAGAGACATAGTCCCTCCACCGTGTTCTGGGTCTACCTTTAGATCTCCTCCCAGTTGGACGTGCCCGGAAAACCTCACCAGGGAGGCATCCAGGAGGCATCCTGACCAGATGCCCGAGCCACCTTAACTGGATCCTCTCGATGTGGAGGAGCAGTGGGTCTACTCCGAGCCCCTCCCGGATGACCGAGCTTCTCACCCTATCTCTAAAGGGAGAGCCCAGCCGCTCTTCAGAGAAAACTCATTTCGGCCGCTTGAATCCGCGATCTCGTTCTTTCGGTCACTACCCAAAGCTCATGACCATAGGTGAGGGTAGGAACGTAGATCGACGGGTAAATCGAGAGCTTCACCTTCTAACACAGCTCTCTCTTCACCACCACAGATTAAATGCAGGGGACAGTGTTAAGGGTCAGAATTCATGTGTTTCAGCTTCAGGGAAGAGACTGTTGGTCAGCTGGGCTTTGGAACTGTTCAGTCTTCTGCCTGAAGGAAGGGCAGTGAGTTTGTAGGTTAGATAAGTTGACTGTTTCGTTGGTTAGCTTAAAAATGATTGAAGTTGTTGTGAAATGATTTGTTCTTCTTTTTCAGATATCAACGAGTGCTTGCTGGGATCCAGCAACTGTCGAGTCGGCGAGCGCTGCATCAACACAGAGGGCGCGTTCCGGTGCATCAGAGAGGTCAGTTGTGGGACCGGCTATGAACTCACGGAGAGCAACAACTGTAAAGGTTGGTTACATTCCCCTCATTTCTCTTTGACACATGATTGTGTTAGTATTTACATAAAGTACCATCTCTCCTGTGACTCCATCCAGACATTGATGAGTGTGAGACTGGTATCCACAACTGTGGCCAACAGTTTGAGTGCCAGAACACCCAAGGGTCATTTCGTTGCATTCCGAAGGTCAAGTGCGGGAACGGCTTTATACAGGATGCTCTTGGAAACTGCATTGGTAAGAAAATATAAAAGGGTTTTATTCTAAATTCTGCTGCACCATTATCTACAGCAACTTTTATGTGGTAAAACCTGCGTTGTATACTGGATGAAGGTTGCCAGCTTTCTCAGCCATGACAAATTAGAGCTAATGAAACAGGTCAAACCTCATATCAAAGCCATCTATTTTGGAATTTCTGTTGCCTTGGGACACACTGACAGATAGGAGGAAGTCTCACCATTACTCCCAGCATTCAAGGAATTTCATCAAGTCTTCCAGCATCTTACATTTTAAAAGTGGACATTTTTATTTAATGTAGTCACCAGTCTATGATTCAGTGGCCTAGTGGTGGAGTGTCTGCCCTGGGACAAATCCCAGTTGGGTCATACCAAAGGCTTTAAAAATGGGACCATTGACACTCAGGTTTAAGGAGTTGAATTGGGTGTTAAACCACGCCTTGAACGTCACCTTATCATGGTGGAGGAGTTTGAGTGCCCTAATGATCCTAGGAGCTATGTTGTCTGGGGCACTTTGTGCCCCTGGTAGGTTCTCCCATGACAAATTGGTCTTAGGTGAAGGGTGAGACAAAGAACGGTTCAGAGGATCTTTCATGGATGTGAATTCAAAGAGTCGGAGTACCCGGCCCGGAGGGTTACCGGGGTCCCACCCTGGAGCCAGGCCTGGGGTTGGGGCCCGTGAGCAAGCGCCTGGTGGCCAGGCTTTCGCTCATGGGGCCTGGCCGGGCCCAGCCCGAACCGGATACATGGGCTCATCCAACTGTAGACCAACCACCCGCAGGAGGAACATGAAGGGTCCAGTGCAGTGTGGATCGGGTGGCAGACTGAGGCGGGAGCCTTGGCGGTCTGATCCCCGGACAAGAAAACTGGTTTTTGGGACATGGAACATCACCTCACTGGCGGGGAAGGAGGAGGAGCTTGTGGCAGAGGTTGAGCGGTACCGGCTAGATATAGTCGGACTCACTTCGACATATAGCATTGGCTCTGGAACCTAAGTCCTAGAGAGGGGGTGGATACTCTCCTTTGCTGGAGTTGCTCCGGGTGAGAGGCGGAGGGTTGGGGTTGGCTTTTTGTTAGCCCCAAGACTCTCTGCCTGTGTGTTGGGGTTTACCCCGGGGGGACGAGAGGGTAGCTTCCCTGCGCCTTCGGGTCAGAGAACGGGTCCTGACTGTTGTTTGTGCATAGTGAGGGTCTGCTGGGAATGCCTGGCAGAAGAACCTGTCAAGACGGTCTTCAACTCCCACCTCTGGCAGAGCTTTGACCGCGTCCTTAGAGCAGTGGGGGACATTGACTCCGAGTGGACCTTGTTCCACTCTGCGATTGTTGAGGCGGCTGTTGCTAGCTGTGGTCGCAAGGTGGCCGGTGCCAGTCGTGGTGGCAACCTCCATTACAAACAGCTTTATGCTTTCTTTTAACCTCTACATTAACAAGTAAACACATCCATTAAAGTCAAGTAAATTGCTCCTTTAACACAGACATCAACTGCACTTATTAACTTGCATACTCTATATATTGTTTGCACACCATTAATTATGTCATTATCTGTCAAACTTTTCCTAGAAATAATGAACTAAAATAACACACAGCAGCTTAAACTATCAATACATACTTGCAATGCAACCAAAAACACAAGATGTTTGCAGATGCGGCTGGATTGACTTGAGTAACAAATCTTCACTCTGTACCATGTGCATTTGCTTCCTGATTAACTCTCTCTACAGCCTGTGCAACAACTTCCTGCCTGATATTCAGTCTTTCTTAAAGTGACATTACCGTTTCTGAAAATAAGACTTAAATATGAACTTCTAGGAAAATAAACAATAAATAAACAATGTTTACCTAAATTTGCTTGTAGCAATACACTCATTCCATGCTGCAGTTCTTTGTTAAGACACAGAGCAGTTTTGTTTACCTGTTTTCCCGCTACGTTTCATTTGCGGCTGCAAACTTCCTCAGGCTGATGCAATACACTCAGTTTGAACACAGCTAGCAACTAGCTACAGACTGAAAATAGCAACAAAATAAATAAATAAATAAAATGGCCCTTTAAAATGTTAACATACAAGTTGCTGGACTCTACCAAGTTTAAAGAAGGTGATGACAAAGTTTGGATCATAAGTAAGAATAAATGATACTATGTAAAAGCAACTGAATAATTATTTAGCGTATTACCTGCTTGTTTTCAGACATTAATGAGTGTGTTACCCAGACAAGCCCATGCAACAGAGGCCATATCTGTATCAACACCGTGGGCTCCTACATCTGTCAGAGAAACTCTGTAAACTGTGGTCGAGGATACCACCTCAGTGATGATGGCACACGCTGCGTTGGTATGACAGAAAAAAGAATACTGCTTTCTACATGAGTAATGCCTGATTAGTGTAATTCAGGTGGCTGTTGTGCTGGAAGTAGTTTGTGTCCTTCTTTGCAGACATCGATGAATGTAAAGGCCCTCAGGAGGTCTGTTCGGGTCACGCTTGTATCAACCAGCTTGGATCCTATCGCTGTGAGTGTGAAACGGGATATAATTTCAACAGCATCACTCGCCTCTGTGAAGGTAAGCAGCAGATAGATTTAGCTTTGTGTGTATTTATTTCAATACAGTCAACTTTCCCACCACACATTTGTTTTTCAAGTGAAGACGGGAGTTCAATCATGGTTTCAGATTCTTCTCTCTTTAATTGAACTGTGTTTTAGATATAAATGAATGCAGGCACTACCCTGGTCGCCTCTGTGCTCATAAGTGTGAGAACACCCCTGGGTCCTACCAATGTAGCTGCACAACAGGCTTCAAACTGTCCAGTGATGGCAGGAATTGTGATGGTGAGGATGTTAATATCACCCAATTAGCCTGTGTCTGAGTGTGTGTTTGTCTGTTAGCAAAATGTCTCATTGGAGGGATTTTGTTGAAATTTTCAGGAAGAACAAAGGGATAATTAGGCTTTTATGGTCTGTTAACAGCTATGGAAAATTTAGAGCAGTAGGTGGTCCCAGATAAAACTTCTTGCCTGTCTTTGTCATGTTTCCAGGCTGTTCAAACTAGGCATATTTTAGGCTTTATTGGCTGAGCTAAAGTCTAAGCTTTTTGGCAAAAATATATCAAGAAATGATACATAGCCCATAAAGAAAAAAAATGTGATAACTAATAATTAACTTTAATATTAGCCAGCTATGCTAATATTTTTCCTACAGCTTGCAGGAATCTTTACAGTAAGTATACAAAACATGTATATGATATGTATAAAACTACAGCCTAGAGGCTATTTTATGCAATGTCAGGAATGCAGAACTGTGAAGTACACAGGTGGCAGGAACGGCCAATCACACATTAGCAAGTATCAGCAGAGCCACTAGATGAGCTCATGGATGGTTCTAATGGGAAACAGGCTTCAACACAAGTGGTTGTTTTCCGCTTGGTCCTAGTGGGGCAAAAAACCCATTTAAATTATTTTTGGGGGGTGGGGGTGGAGTGGGGGGTGAGGGGGAGTTAACAGTAAAATTTCAGAGAGTAATTATTGGGGGGGGGGGGGGACATAAAGAAAATGGCTGTCACCATCTAATTTGCTACTTGCAGGGTGGGCCTCCAGCATGAGCAAGTTAACTGAAAAACCAACTGATCCGAGGCAAGATGTCAGCATATCAGTACATGATACAGAGTACAACTCCAAATCCTAACTAAATTCTTGTTCCTGAAACAGGAGCACCAGAGCTTTTCTCCAAAGATATTAACTCACAAGGCATTAATTTATGCTAGAGACCAATGCAGATGTGTTGAAAAAAAACTGTGAACTTGAACTCGAAAAGGTAAAGTACTACAACCTTTCTGGAACCTCTAACAATAAAGAGAAAAACACCAACTATAAATATAATACCAAAATAAAATGTGACTATAGTAACATGATGTGGAAGCTGTTAAAAATCAAAAATGTTTCTATCAAAAATATTAAATATAAAAAACAAACACAAAACTGATTTCTTTTCAGTCACTCAGTGAGCAGCTGTGATCAGCAGCAACACAGAGATGATGGTATCTGCTATATGTGTGTCACAACCTGGTGAAACATTAAAAACCAGGATAAATATCTGTCATTTACTACCTAAAACTTATATTTTTGAATTATTCTAAGCAGAGGCGGATTTAGCAAGTTGGGGGCCCAAGGCGAACACAGACATGGCCAATCCTACCTTTAACTGGATTTGCGAAACTCTCCCCTCTTCTGACATGAGTTAGTTTCCTTTTTTATTAGTCCTCCTTTTTTTTGCTGTATTTCCTTCCCTTTGAGCGCTTTCAATATTTGCACTGCTTTCTTTTTCCTGTCAGTGTTCCTGTGCTTTTGCCTTTGTTTATTTTTTTCTATTTTCCATTTTGGTTTATGTTTTCCTCCCTTTAATCATTTTCCATTGTCTTTCCTTTCTGCTTCCTTTTGATGTTTACATCTAAAAACGACATCACTTTCAGAAGTGAAGATAAAAGCTTCTATGAAGCGAGCAGCTTCTTTCTCTTATTGGAGCCACTGGGATGGGCTCCAATTTTAGGCATGGATGTAATTATTTGGGGGGGTTGGGGGGGGGGGGGGGGGGACCCCTCCACTTTTTCCAAAGTCAAGTTTTGACCCCTGCACTTTTTACCATCCAAAAACAATATTAGGCTATATTAAAGTGAGACAGGTTGAGCTCCAGGACTGAGCAGAAAACAACTGTTTGTTTTGAAGCCTGTTTTCCATTAGAACATACTGTAAAGAATTTACTTTTACTTTTAGGAACTGTTGGAATTTTTTGAATATGATCAGCCATTCAAAGGTTATAAAACGGAGCATTTTGGATGACAAACTCAGCACGTCTCTGAATCTGTGATTCGTTGCGCTCAAGACATGGAATGCCGGTGGCTACCGTAATGTATTGTATATGCACGAAAGGCCCCATTTTTAATATTTTCAGCACTTTTGGAATTTTAATGATATCTTGAACTGTTCAGGAATTATGGTAATGAGAAGTGTGCATGTCCAATCCCATATGCGGCGACAGGTTGGTAATAAGAATATTGTGGCATTAACAGAGGGGTGCCGGCGGTCAGGGCTAGGGGGCCCCCCAACACAAGGGGGCCCCAGGCGGCCGCCGACCTATGCCTACTGGAAAATCGCCACTGATTCTAAGAAGTTAACGTCAATCTGCTACTCATATGAAAGTGTTAAAATGGCCACCTATTAGCTTTTTATGGATTTATCTTATCTCAAACTTAAATCCCAAAGCTGTTGCTGACTGTCACGTTGAGAGCAAGGAGGTTGTTAGGACCCAAGATGCAGAAAACCCCAGATGACACGAGGCAGGAGTGGTTTTAAAAGTAAAATCCTTTTATTAGGAGATGAACCAAAGATCCAGAAAGGGCAGGAAGCCAAAAACCAAGTCCTGAACAACAGGAGTACGAAAGCTCACTTAGAGCACACCAACCTCGAGACGAGGGGCAAAAGCTCACATAGAGCACAAAAACAATGCTGACACAAACAATGGACCGACAAGACATAGAGACAAAGACAGGGCTTATATACACTTTGGCATGATGGGCTGCAGGTGTGTGGAGAGAGAACCAGGTGAAAGTAATTAACTAATCAGGGAGGAAACTAACATGACCCAAGAGTAAAACCTAAAGACAAGAAAAGCAACCACATAACTAATATTCTAAGGGGAAGGAAAACTACAAATACCGGAGGGAAAAAACACACTAAAGAGACTAATAAAATGAAAAGCTGAAACTATAAAAACTGCAGAGGGGTCTGACTGGGGAAGACTAAAGGAACACAGGACTTGGGAGAGATATCTGGAGGGCTGAAGACCAGGGGACACATGAGGAACACAAAGAGACACATAAGGGGGATTCTTAGGTGGAAATGGAGCACACAAGGAGACTCATGAGGGAGACGTAGACACAGACCATGACACTGACGACTAGTAAGAATAATACTTAGACTAGGATCAATTATATTGTTTCTATGTGAAAACAGAAATGAGGCTAAACAATGTGATTACTGATTAAATGTTAAAAGGGCCTGCCAGAGGTGTATGGGGTTGCAGGTTGATGCCATGAGGTGCTTTATTCATTAGCTGCTAGGCTACTTACACATTTTTTAAACAACTTTAGTTTTGTTTTATTTTGCTTTAACAAAATGCAGCAATTGATTTGTTTGATTTGTTTTAAGTGGAGAGCCTTTCAAGCAATAAAAAAAAAGTTCCAGAAAACACCTCCATCCCCACCTTTAACAGGCTAAAACCATAAATCATCACCAAGTAAACTCACCTTTGGAATTGCTTTCTTTTGTAAATAAACAAACACTAAAGAGATCAGGCTCAAAGTGTTCTCCATCTAAACGGGGCTGGTCAGAAACGATTCTCAGTTTTTGCACTTCCTATTGAATAGAATCTGATGACTTCACGATCTCGTGTCTTTGGCAGATCTGCAACACATCTACATCCTTGATGGCTTTATATCAGCATCCCTAATTGAGCTATGTGTAAACAACGCTAATTAGGGTGATTCATGACCATTATGTTTTTGTTGTAGATCTAAATGAGTGTGAGAGCAACCCGTGTAGTCAAGAGTGTGCCAATGTGTATGGTTCCTACCAATGTTACTGTCGGCGTGGCTACCAGCTCAGTGACATTGATGCCATGACTTGTGAAGGTAAACGCACCTAATGCAACAGCTTTTTTTTCAAATGAAACATTTATCTTGTTTTTAAATTTGCACACACACACACACACACACACACACACACACACACACACACACACACACACACACACACACACACACACACAAGAGATCCAGTATTTGCTTTCTGGTTTAAGTTTTTGTGTGTTTCTGTGATTTTTGTTACAGACATAGATGAATGTGCCCTGCCCACTGGAGGTCATATTTGTTCCTATCGCTGTCACAACACCCCAGGCAGCTTCCACTGCTCCTGTCCTGTCAATGGCTACACCTTGGCAATTAACGGGCGCAGTTGCCAGGGTAAACTGCCCTTACTTATTGTGTTGTTAGAAATATTTTATCCCTTTACAAACTGCCTCAGATAAACCAATGAAAACAATCTCAATTTTGTCACTGTTCGTTTGAAGAAAATTGTTAGATAACCATGTTTTAATTTCATTAAGACATTCAGTGAGGGAAGAAGGTGGGAGCGAGGAGATGGGATTTGAGGAGAAATGGAACTTATTATTGACTGCATAGCAATGAAAATTAATATTAAATTTATGCAAAATTTTGCCAAGTAGAAGGAGAAAGATGATACATTAAAGAGGCCCCAGGACAGAACCTTGGGGAACACCAGATGTGACAGGAGTAGACATGGAGTTAAAGGAGTTTAACACTGAGGAGTGTTCAGAATTCCAGTCGTTTCCTACTAACTATTTTTTCAATTATTTTGGACAGAAATGAGTGTACTGAAAATACTGACATTGCCTTCACTAAGAGAGTGGGAAGTGGATCTAACAGACTTTTGATTTAGGGAGGAGAGCAATGGCGTTTTCTTCATAGAGCCAGCTTGGTTTTAATAGATGACATCATTATTTAAAAAACTTTTTTCTCTGGTTGTATATGTCTGATTTTGAAAAATGTTTTCTGACATAAAACTTTTAAATTGAACAATATGACCTAAATCTGAAAGGCACAAAGGCTTTTTCAGTGTTCAAGTTATCTTTGTATCCCAACATTTTCGACCCTTTGGGTAGAGTTATGATTAAGGGTTTGCTGGTGTTTTCTACCAACCATGTATTCCAGATGACTTATGCCATACAATAATGAATACTTGATTTAGATTAGTGTAAATTGCAAATGTTATGTTGAGTGATTTGCAAGCATGCCCATGCTCTGTGTACACAGATGTTGATGAATGCGTTACGGGGAGACACACATGCGCAGAGAGCGAGAGCTGCTTTAATATCCAGGGAGGATTCAGATGCCTGTCCTTTGACTGTCCACACAACTACCGACGAGTTGGACAGACGTGAGTATTTGAACCGTGATGTCTACATTAGGGTTACTGGATAAGCGTGAACACATCTGTGACCAACACCTTTGGCAATGTCTCTTTTGATGCCCTGCATGTCTAAACTGCATATTGGAACCATTTCAGAAAGGATTTGGCTATAGCATGTTCTCTTGTTTTTACATGAATAAGTACATGAAACTTCCTTTTGGTACTGTATCCTGACCAGTCGTGTGAAATGTGACAGACCTCTTTGCATGTCCCACAGATGGCTCCATGTGAATGTTCATTTAACTGCATGCCATGCACGGCCAAAGAAATTTACACCCATTCTCTCTTTTTTCTGTCAATCTTTAATCCCATCTCATCCCACCCCTTGCTTGTCCTCTTTTTTTGAATTCCTTTGCAGTAGATGTGAACGTTTGCTATGCAATGAGCCTGAGTGCCTGAACATTCCAATGAGAATAACCTACTACTACCTTACATTATCCACCAACACCCCTGCCTCCACCACCATCTTCCGCATGGGCCCCTCCCAAACGATGCCTGGCGATGACATCCATATTGCTATCATTGCTGGCAACGACGACGGTTTCTTCAAGACAGAGCGGACGCTCACCGGTGGCGCAATGATGGTGGCAAAGGTCATCGACAAGCCGCAGGACTTTGAGCTGTCTCTGGAGTTGAGGCTGCGTCGTTATGGCTCGGTCATCATATTTTTGGCTAAAGTGCTGGTGTTTGCTACCCAGGATGAACCCAGAGTACCATATAATCCCCTACTAGAATAAATAGAGGAGTGGATTAGGATTGTTAGGTTAGGACTTGTTTTTTCACTGTTAAAAATGATTTTTCACACAAAAATTAGCTTTGCTGATTGAATCTAAGAGAATCATGATGGATTTTAATAGTAAAGGAGACCTTGCTCTAGAGGTATTTGTATTTACATATAGGAAAATAAATAGGGTTTATGTCACTCTAAGGGGTGTCGAGATAAAGACAGCTCAGAGCTGATAAAGCTGAGTTTGGTGCAAAATATGTTTTTTTCTGATGTGGATAGCCTGCTGGATAACCTCAATATGGAGAAATACAAAGTAAAATAACAAATTACTCACCTTAATGGTTTAAACTACCCAGAGTCCACATTTTAAGCAAACTGATATGTTGTTTCGTGGAGATCAAAATGACTGTCATATTTGATGCCACAATAAAGAGTCATAAAATAGTTTTTGCATAACCTGCTGTTCATTTTTGGAGATTAACTGTTTAAAAACAGTAGCAATCACGTCAGGTGTTAGCTCTGCTTTTAACTTATCAATCTGGTCAAGACCCATCTCTTTTTCTCCAAACCAAGGTTGGTCTGAGAGCAATCTACAACAGGGGCAGAAAACACGCTCAAAACATCTGAAGTAGCCCTGTAATAAAATATCAGTCGTAGATGCTGGAAAGTTGCATTCTGTTTCATCCTGATTAATCTGGACGACTGAAATGTTTGCGTATCGCATATTGAGTTAAGTATATTTTACGTGTTCAAATTTTCAGTAGAAACTTTTCATGCAATACAACAGGATACTAGACACAGTGCCTGCAACAATAAGCGTTTCAGCCAAAACAGGAACAGACCATCAGTCACTGTAGAATGAGAAACATGCCGACAGTAAGGGTCCTGAAAATGCACAAGTATAAAAAAATCTGCTCCTGCTGGGTCCCATGCAGGGTCCAGGGAAACCATTACAAAATAGCAAAGTGCAATTCACATTTTTTTCATTTCATCCCAAAAAACCCATTCTGAGATTGCCCCGAACAGACAAAACTAGATTAAGACATTATTAGCTACATCAAAGCCCACACAAACACATATAAAACAGGCATTTATATAAAAAACCACGTATATGAGGAATCCACAGCCAGATGTCTCTGCTTCCAAATAATTAAGAAATCCTAAAAATGTCCAGAGACCATTTCAGCAGATGCCGCATGTTTAAATACAGAAATATTTGGTACAGTCAGCAAGAGGACAACCTGAGACAGGGGTTTGTAACCACCTGAAACGTTTTTGATGAATGTTGGCAACAACAATCAAAATATACATAAATGTCATTGTATGAGACCAGCAAACAGGAGCACACAGCAAGACATTAGTCTCTTAAAATTATTAATGACTCTTAAAGCTCAGATGGTTTTAAAATCCAAAACAGCAGTTAAACTATTTCGCTCATTACCTAAAAATCTAGTTTGTATTAGAGTGTATCCCAAAGGTGTTTATTTACATAACTCAAACCAAAGCACAAATGCAACAAAACGGTGTTCAAAACGTATTTATTCATAAAAAGAACAGAAAGAGAACAAGTGAAGATTTGAGATGCAGCTATGGATTACATAGATACATCTGAAATGCAACGCATCATTTCTTCAGACTGAAAACTCACTGAATCAGAAAAAAGAAGCACAGCTTCAGGTGTTTTACCATCATTCAGTCAAAGTGATTACATTCTTATCTGTTTCTGCTGCAGTTAAGGCAAAGCCACTACTGTAGGTGGCGTTCTAGCTTAGGGTAAAATCATCAAATGTTCACAGCCCATGTATGTCTACAAGTAAGTGTAATTTGATGATGGTTGCATGATAAAGTCTGACATTTTGCAGTATTTTATGGTTTTGTGCTGGATGAACGCTTTTCTATTAAAACTGAGATAGAAATAACACATGTTCAAGTCAAATCCAGTTCTTGATAATAGTACTTTGTGGGGGTTTTAATCAAATGCAGCAAAAGGCAGCAGTTAGGATGTGAGGAGGCCAAGTCACAGTTGTAGGCATGAAGATTTTCCTCATAGTTTCAGATTACTTGCATTGCAGCAGCTCCAGCAAAGAGGAAATGCAGCTGTGCATGCAGTCTTTTTTTTTTTTTTTTACAAACTGCACATATTTACGTAAAAAAGTATTTTCTATGATCTAATATAAAAGAATGTTCCTTTAATACCCAAACAAAGACTAAAGTATAACGGAATTTTATTTAAAGGGTGATTTTCTTAGTAATGCAAGAATTCTCAGTCAAATAAATTTCCCTGGCATTTTCAGCACAAATGCTTGTCTAAAATTGTAGAAAAAGGGATATAATTTCAGTACTTTATTCATATAAAGCCCAGTAATTTATGCTCTGAGTTCTTCGCCATTCACAGCATCAAAGTAATTCTATACAACCAAACTGACGTCACAAACCAGAATGTATTGCTACTCCCACTTCCCAAATGTCAGTGACTGCACATCACATTTACATCTTTCTGCAGCAATTATTTTCATGCACATCTTTTAGGTCTTCCCTCCCATTTTGCACTTAATGTGAAATGCACAGATTCCCACTGCATGGTGTGGGTGGAGTCCCCAAAGCAGACAGATAATCTAAATGAAGGCAGAGTAAGTGACACGCGATGGGATGCAGTGGCAAAAGAAGGAAAGGGGGAATGTGCACGAGTCAGGGAATGAATAGTTTGACATGCTGTGAGGCTGAAGACTGTGGGTTTTATTAACTGTAAATTCAGATGTCCTGGGTTCCTCCTGTCCTGATCTGTCAGGCCAACAAGGATGCACTTGGTTCCTGGTGGGGATATCCTTAAAATAAGAGAGTAGCGGCGCACACGAGTTTTTTCCTCCTCTTTGACACTGAGTTATGGGGCTCTGGGCTCTGGCCGGTGGTCTGAACAATTTGTGGTGCAGCAACATCACCACACACAAAATGAATGATGCCCTGCAGTGTTTGTGTTGGGACGTTATCAATGTGCTGACTATAAATAATAATTACCAAAAAAATATAAGGCTCTAAGCTTGACCAGAACACTTTCATCCAAAAAGATGTGTTTTTCTTTCTGGTCTTGAAAGTACTGGGGGTTTCTCCTGGGCCTGGCCACGTGAGGCACAGGCAGAGAGAGCTGAAGACAATGTGTGATTGCAGTCATGTCTGCATGACTTTAAGCACTCAGAAGCACGTTCATAACGGATGCACAAAAACGCAGACATGTTTAAATCGGAATGAAAAAGCAGAACGGGGCCGTTTACTACTGATCGCTATGCTCTCGTAAATTCACTCCCCATCTGAGCAGTGTTCACCTCATCCTCTAGAGGCCTGCTTTGCTCTCTCTGCTGCTCAGGCAGTGGTATTATAAACCGGGAGAACATTTTGTGGGTTTGGACAAGGCCAAAGCAAAACTTGGACCCACCCGCTAATGGCTAATTACAAGCCCCTATAGTAGTGGCTTGACTTCTTGTCAGGGGCTTCGCTCCTCGCTGTCCATGAAAGGAGCCCTGCAACCCAAGCTGGGCCTGGGCTTTGAGCTACAGTGGATGGGTCCCCTGAGGAACACCAGAGATCCATAGCCCGTGACTCACATGTGGCTACATGGTTGCCCCAGCACATTAAACTGACCTATACGTGGCAACTTGCATGTTTTTGTAACCCGTTAACCACAAACTGACTTGTCGCCTCTGCAGGAGGCTGTGCATGAGTTTAGCATGTTGAATTTCAATATCAAAAGCTTATTTTTAAAAAGAAAGTCTCATTGTTTCAAAGATGAATTGTTGATTAATGAGATTGATTAATGAGGTTGTTAATGGCGTAAAACCCTTTGCCAAGAATCTCCGAAAGCAGACAGGAAGTTAAAAGTAATGCTCCAGGTGGCGTTAGCTTTAGGAGCCAGTAAAGGCCAACCTGTCACTGATTAGTCTGAGGATGAATAAACAAAGCCCTAAAAAATAGGACAAGAGGTGCCCTGGGGAGACGACGGGGAGTTGTCCAGTCATGTTGCTCACAATTTAGGAGTCTTTTAGAACATTCCCTTGCCACATAAATCCTCCTCAAGAGATTATCTGATGTGAAGCTAGGGATGCTCAGCAAATCCAAATATTTTCCCTAAGCAGGTTGTGGATCATTCTTTGTGAGTGTAGTAATTCATTTCCCACACAGCTTGAAAGAGGGCATCAGAGTGCATAAGTGGAAGAGCGAGTCTCGGTGAGCTTTGAGGTCTGAGCTGTGGCTGTTCTTAGATTATTATTCTTTCTTAACCACACAGAATTTAATTATTCCTAATGTTGAGTGCTATATCCAGCACTCATGCTGTCTTGTCCACAGTGTTTGTGCAGCAGCTTTTAGAGAGGAATCCCACTGAGTTCCTGATTATGTAGTGGGCTGAGCTCAGGAAAAACTTGTAATTGTGAGCTTTAGAAAGCAAATGTTATCGACTCTGTAGGCCACAAATAGGTTGTGCCTAAAGGTCAAAGCACACGTGTTTGTTCTAAAATTTTGTCTTTTTGTTGGAGTTTGTGTTTTTCTTATCTATTTCAGAGCAGCAAGGCTTGAACGCTCTGACACGGTGCGCTGTGTAAAATCCTGTCAGCCCAATGACATCGCCTGTGTTCTGGATCCAACACACTCCGTGGCCCACACCTTCATCTCCTTACCCACCTTCAGAGAATTCCTAAGGCCAGAGGGTAACTTCTTCTTGACAGCTTCTTTTGACAGGTCCTCCAGTCTATTTGTCCTTTTTCGTGGTCTATTTGGTTACCTACCATTCACCTTTGATTCTGATTCTACTGATATTAATCTCCTCTTTGACCATTTCAATTCAAAATGGCTAATTTACAATCACAACAAATGTCCTTCCAGGGTACTACCCAGAGAAGAAACCCATGCACCTTAAATCTCTTTAGAGTCCAGTGGAAGTCACTGCAGTCTAGTGAATGTTGATTATCTGGCTCAATATGCAACACATTCTCACACCCAAAGTGTCGAAAAAGTGTAACACGTCGGAAACAAACGCTTGGTCACCTAATCTTGGTGGAGGAGTTTGAGATCCAAATGATCCTAGTAGCTAATTTATCTGAAGCTGGTGGGGTCACCCGTGGCAAACAGGCCCAGGTGCAGGTCACTGGGGTCCCTCTCTGGAGCCAGGCCTGGATGAGGAGCATGCTGGCAAGTGCCTGGTGGCCAGGCTTTCACCCATGGAGCCACAGTCAGTGACTCGATGCAATCTGCTGGGTTCCTTACATAGGATACATGTTACTGATTGGCACAAGTGTCTTGAGATGACTCTTGTGATTTGGTGCCTTGTAAATAAACTGAATTGAACTGTATATCAACCTGACTGTCATTCATTCCTGGGATTTCTGGATAAAATTCACTCCTGGCCAGTGATGGGCATCTTACATAAAAAAAGTAATTAGTTATAGTTACAAATT